ATATTTCAAGTTGCATTGTCCTCTGTCATCTAAAAGCTACGATTTTTGGAAGGAAAAAATGGGAATTCCTTTACCTAGCACTTAGCACATTAAAGAGATGGTGCGCTAAATTTTCATGTATAGTCCAGGAATTCAGAGTGAAATGTTCTTGCTGTAATGAAGGAAAGATGCGAATATTTGAATTCTGTAGAAAAAATATGCGTTCTCAGTTTCAACGAAATGCACATAGATTCTAAACTCTGCTATGACTCTAAACTGGGACCAAATTCTCGGTCCTTTTCAAAAAGTGCAGTTTGTTTTATTTCGTAGAGGTCTCATTTCGCAGTGGAAACAATCAATATTTTTTTATTTTAACACCTCCAGTGAAGAAAGAACTTCTTTTTCACTCATAAGACATATTCAATCATCTGGAGTAGAAGTGAAAGCAATAGTGTCTGATTTAGGAGGATCTAGTACTTTGTGGAAAGAGTTACAGATTTCGATTAATAGTTCTCAGTTTCCAAATCCAGTATTGCAAACGAAAAAAATATGGGTTTTTGCAGATTTAGCGCACTGCCTCAAATCACTTAGAAACCACTTTTTAGATAAAGGATTTGTTTTAGAAGATGGAACTGTTTTAAATGTTGATAGTATTAAAGAGATTTTAAATAAAGATTCAGGAGAAATTAAATTGTGTCACAAAGTAAAACCAAATTATTTAATGGTCAAGGGAAACGAGAGACAAAAAGTCGCTCCAGCGAAAACATTATTTTCAAAAACTACAGCAAAAGGTATACTCCACCTCACAGGAAATAAAAAAGCATCCGACTTCTTTGAGTTAATCGACAATTTTTTCGATATTATGAATAGTACCAAAACATACCCTCCTTCAGATAAAATACTTAAAGCAGGATTTGGATTAAATGAACATCATGAAAAACAAATTCAAGTTTTGGAATTAATGAAGAAAGTCATTGGTGGATTAAGAGTTCAGGGAAAAGCCAACTTACTGCCTTTCCAAAAAGGAATAATAATTTCAATAAATTCTCTTTTTGGCCTACACCAGGATTTGAAATCATCGTGATGCTAAATATATTTTAACCTCTAGATTAACTCAGGATGCACTGAAAGTCTCTTTAGTCAGATTCGAGGGCTTAGTAGGTTTAATGACCATCCATCAGCTAGTGAAGTTATACGCCGCTTAAAGCAATTAATACTCGCTAATAAGCTGCTAAATTTATCTTCAAAAGTATGCATGACTAAAGAAAGCAGAAATATTGATTCATATTTAACATCCGAAATACTTGAAAGGGTTTTGAAAACTGAGGGGGGAGATGCTTTTCCATTAAATACTATTGATGATTTGGATTTGGATTTCATAGAGGAACCTTCTCCTATGGCTTGGGAATTAGAATTGAATTCCGACAGACAATTTTCGACAGCCGAAAAAGAAGCATTAACATATGTTGCAGGTTATATTGCCTATCGTGTGCGAGACAAAGACCCATCATTGGGAACAATATCTAAAAATAGTGCTGATGAACCAATGTTTAATTCAGAATGGATTAAATTATTGTCCTTAGGAGGTTTGACTACACCTTCTCATTCATGGATGACTACAGTTTATGAGTTCGAAAACATATTTTGTGCAGTTCATGGTACAACTTACTATAAAGGGAAGCATGTAATTGGCTCTTTAATTAATAAACTGGAGAAACATTATCATGAAGTTAATACAGAAGCAATTCGTTTATTTTGCAGAGTGAGAACTTTTATTAGAATACGTTTCTTAAATAAAATTCTAAATTTTTATTAGAACACGTTCTTATGTTTTTTCCCAAAAAAAAAAAGCAACCCAAAAGGGAAAAAAAAAAAAAAAAAAAGGATTGCTTCGAATGTGGCAGCCAATAAATAATGTTTCAACAACTTGTAGTTGCATTGCGACTGTACAAGTAAGCATATATAATATGTTTTGATTTGAAATATTTTTAGATGACATTTTAGAAGTTAATAGCGTAAAGCATATTTCAAATGAGAATTAATTCTGTTAAGTTATTGTTATAGTTATTTTTATCGTATCCTCTGTTATTATTGATTCGATTTTGTGCTAGCTTAGCATTCTAGATAAAATATATATAAAGGATAATATTAAAGTAATTGGCATAAGAAGACCTGCCCCCTCAACCCCCACTTTTGAAAATAATTATTTTAGGTCCTGTGAGTAAAGTTGTTTTGTCTAAATTAAGATAACAATCTTACATGTATTTATTTAAATGAAATATTGATGTAAGCCTAAGTTACAAAATTATTTTAAAAAAATATATGTTATTATATTGAATCGGGAGAAAAATATGTCGATGTAAAATTTACAATTAGACTGAAACTCAAACTTAGATTAGCAGAAATTTGCCATATATGTTTAAATATACATGTTTAAAAACTATGCCAATTTAAGGTTTTTTTTTTTTATTAATTTTAAATAGCTGTTATTATAGTTATTTTAGAAGCAGTAGTACAGTTCTCTTAGTTAACATGCAGATAAAGAAATGATTAGAAACAAACAGGCATTTAAAGAAAAAAAAAGGTCCCTGCAAATAAAAAAAAAGGAACTTAATGCTAAGAGTAGCGCATTTTATCTATTATTTTAAAATTGAGTAAGTACTATTAAATTTTTTAATGTTCAGTGTAAAATGCATACTGCAGTAACATTGTCTCTTCCAAATTATAGCTATCTTTCACACACAGCTCATTTTAAACGCTGGTTCTTCAAATTTAAAACGCTAATTTCTATGTTGTCAATTGCATCTCCGCGCTGAGTGGCATCATTGCTACGTCATCTCTCCCCGCTGCCTGTTTCAGGGGGAACCGCTCTATGAGCTAGCCCTTCTCTTTAGTCCTGTTGTTAAGTCCTAAATTTAATCTCTATCTGAACACAAGACCATCAGTGATCTCACTTAGTCGGTGATTAGCACAAGACTGTGAAGCCTGTGAGGACTTACGCATCGCTGTAAATAGTCTTGCGAGTTTCTTTTTCATCATGTGGTTGCAGCAGTCTATTCTGACGACCCTTCTGCGGAGGAGGCGCAGCAGCATTAGATCACTTCTGCAAGGAAGACAATAATGCTGTGAGGCAAATTTTATAGCCGTAGGGTCAGCAGTTCTCTTCTGCAGCGTAGATTCAAATCACTCTCTCAACTCTTGAAACTCGAAACTTGAAAAACTGATGCGCGCTCCGATTTTGGTTTTCCCCAGTCCGCCGAAAAATTATTTTGCCGAAACCGTCACCAACTTAAAGTGGTAAGATGCAAGGTTTTCACGTAATGATATCACTCAAATTATTCAGTAGCAAACTGTGGCATTAGCATTTTCAATAACAATGTCATGTCTCATTTTAAATGCACTTTAAGACTTAGGCAACAACAAATAACATTGAGTAAATTTTGAGCGAAGCAAGGGCCCAGAGCGTCTCAAGCGGAGTCAAGGGGCGCTTAGAAACAAATGGAAAAAAATCAGTAAAAAGAAGATTGCCTTTAAATGTACCCGAAAACATCAACAGCAAAAAAGATAAAAGAAAATGTCCTCTAAAGATAAGTTACCTATTATTTTTATGAAAAGAAATTTCGCGTCCAAACAACAGCACTTTCCTCGTCATTTTTCACTTCTGCAGTCCACTTAGCTTTATATATTAAACTGAGCTTTCATCTAGTTTATCTGTTTAATATTATATTTATTTATTTATTTATTTATATTTAATGATTTCCGTTGGTTTCGCGTTATGAATTTTTGAACAAAATACTGTCGTAAAATTTAAATAAGCAATTAAATATGCAATCTAAGAACGAATTAATCCAATTTAAATTAATCCTTAAAGAGAAAATATTCTGTTTAAGAACATTTCAACTTAAGAATGGCCTTCAGCAGCGCATTAAAATTCGCGAACCGAGGTTTCACTGCAGTCCGCTTTGAATGTACAGTCCTAAAAATGGAAAAATACGAAATTGTATTATTTAGTATCTCGCAAACAACCGGGCAGTCAGATCGAAGTTTTTCGGGTACATTTAAAGGCAATCTTCTTTTTACTGATCCTATCAATTCATGAGAATTGTTTCCTCGGACTCAAAATTTATATGTTTTGAAGAAAGATGCCGCATATCAAATTTACATTATATTGTGAAATGTTTTAGCATATTTCAATTTAGCTTTGATAAGCTCACAATTAAAAAGAATAATTGTTGAGGATTTTGTGTAGTAATCAATTTCTTGATTCAAAAAGCGTCAATCTGCAGATAAGGAAAGGAAAAGTTTTGTAAATAATCGTCGTGACATTCTGTTACTAAAAATGTATGGGGGAATATGCCCTACTAAATTATAGGGTTCTTAAATTCAGAGTGCACTGAAATTATCATAAGTTTAATTGCACTACCTCTTACAGAAGGTGTTCAAATAGGTCCATCCGACATCCAGACATGTCTCCATACAAAGTCGTGCTGTGGATGGAGCGAGCGAGGCACTATCTTAACTAAAATATGATTAATTAAGTATAAATGTGAAAATAATTAAAAATAGAATTTTTAGTTTTCAATCTGCTGTTTTGAGAATATTATATTAAAGCGCTGTATCGACTTTTGAAAACAGAGCGCTATTTTGAGATTTGAAAATGTTGAGATTTCTTCAGATGTGTCAGCAAGGATGTATCAGCTTACACTTCTGTATACTAGCGAAGACTAAAATTATATGCTGCGGCTTATTGGGCAAACTTTAACTCCAGTCTTCATTTTGAAATTTGTGAGTATTACAAATATGCCTATCCTTCCACTTAAATGCTCCGTGTCAAATGATATATTAAATCAGGTGCTATGGAGCTAGCTCAGACATAAGTAGATTATGCGATTTCCACTTCAGATCAATTAGTTACGCCAGTCATTGTACAGTTACTAAACGTGGTAAGCAGAGATTTCTCGGACACTCTGCATAGTGCTCTTTGTCTTAATGAAGATTTCGTTATTAAGAGAGACGTCAGGTTTAAGTTTCAAACAAATTTTATTTTCAGGTTACAGAGCCAAATCTGACAAACACAGTGTTCTTAGTTAACAAATTATTTATTACAGTTGAATTAGTAACTAATTTTTGTCAGAGTTGAATTGGTGTCACAATAGATTCCACTATTTAACATATTTATTAAATGCAGAACTGCTTACATTGTTATTTATAAACATTGGCCAGGATAGTTAATAGCTAGAGCTGGAGGTATACCATCGGGAGTCATACAACGGCTGCCAGCACAACGCTCATTAGCGATGCTACTGCATCTTTCACCTGGACACTAAATAATAATAATAATAATAGTAATAGTAATAATAATAACAATAATAATAAAAATAATAATAAAAGTATTCAGTAATTACAGTACGCTATCCTAGTATTTGAATAATTATAAATTGATTCTTAATTTAGGTTCACTTTTTTCTGAGACATCTTTTAGGAAGGTAAGACCTTCAGCTTGATTGTTTGCATAGCTGTTTTGATAATTATTTTGCCGATAATTTATCGTCTAATTATATTATAATATTCAAGGAAAATGACTTATTGCGAATATTATTTGCATTTCTTCTAGAGAAAATTTGAATCATACTAGTTCACAGGCAAACCGTGACTTGTCTGGTTTCGAGCTTGAATTCCAATTTCATTTAAAAGTTGAGAAGTACCAGAACCAAGGTCCGTCTGAATTTAAGCCTTGATTACAGCGAGAGGTTTCACAGATTAGATACTAATAACATACTAAAATTGTTGCGTGTGTGCTTAACCCATGCACTTAATTTTCCAATATCAAGTAATTGACAAGGCCAAAAGAAAACTTTTTTTAGCATAATTAACCATTTACTAGTTAATAATTTAATTAATTAATCTTAATAATTTAATTAATTAATAATTTAATTAATTCTTCAATTAATTAGCTTTATGTAGCCTGTAAAATGTCTTTTATTTTTATCTTTATATCTATTGCAGATGTTCTTTAAGGTATTATTTTAAAGTAATTTTCTTTTTCGGAGAGATAAAAAATAAAACTTTTCTTAAAGGTACTTTAAAAGCACAAAGCACTTTTGTTTCATTTTTAGACATGCTTTAAATTTCCTGAAAAGATAATCCACTCAATTTTAATTTTTAATTTTCATATTGAACTTTGAAAAAAGCCCATAACTATGAATAAGCCAGTCTTAGAAAATGTACGGTACAGTGTAAACCTCGAAGAGGAAAACTCGCATTTATCTTAACCCTTTCCGGCTCGCTAAAGTCGGAGTTTTGATTTAAAAAAAAAAGGTAGGTAGTCTAATTAGGCCTAGAGGAGTACACAAGTAAAATTTTGTGAAGGTAGCACTTATCAGAAAATTGCTGTTGCTCTAGCTTTATATTTTTAAAAATGAATATTCTTTGTCTACATGAAATTTTGATTTTTTATTATAATATTTTTCTCGTATTTATAATACTAATCTCGTATTTATAACTTGTAATCAGTTTTCTTTCTCTGTCTTGAAGATGATCGAAGATAACAATGTGGAATAATTACGTGAAGGAATTCTGGTTCACAAAGTAACGGCAATACGTCAATCGCATGACGAAAAATCAGACAGATTGTTCAAATTTCTCTCGTCATATTTGTCAGGCAGTGTCGACGCCAGTGGCGTAACTAGAATTCTTGGGCCCCCATGCAAAAAGTTTTTTAAGCCCCCTCCCGAAATTTAGATACTCCCAAAAAAAATAAATAAAGGATTTTAACGGCCACCAAGAAGGGTTTGATAAGATTTTTTATGCTCTTGGTGAGCACGTTGTCCAGTCTGTTGTCCCACTCTTGCTAACTGGACTTTTTTTTTTGTCTTTTTTAGCTTTATTATTAAGCATAGTTTTCTTCGCATTTACGCCACATACAGTTCAACACCAAAATCACAAAATTTTTAAAAGCTGAATAACAGAAAATGTTTAGAACTCCAGACGGAGCGTTAAGTGTTGGGGTAAATTTTTATATTCATTTCAGTTTTCCCATTTAATTACATCAGTATTCAGTTTTTTCAATAAGATGGCATTTTTTTTGGTATGAGTCGTTTCATTATTATTAACATTTTATGTGTTAAATTTATTAATTATGTATCACGTTCATCTCGTTTACATAAAATTCAATTCAACAGCAAAATCATAATACAATATATTTTAAAAGCAGCATATCTTTAGAACTCCAGATAGAGTGTTTGAGTTTGCCATACATACTTTTATATTCGCTATATCATTTCTTTCAAAACTAGCCTCTCATGCGGCCAACCGCCTAATAGTTATCTTAAAAAAAGAAAAAGTATATAACGAATTTAATGAGTCCAGCTAATGTAATTTAAAAAAACACTGAATAGTTCTAATTAAACATGTTTATTTAAATTAATCACATTAAAAAGTAAGAACAAAATATTCTCAAGAACTGCGCTTATTGACTTTAAATCAGTTAGCTAATTATTCAGTAACCTTCCAGATTAAATATGAAAGTGTTTTAGGCTTTAATGAAGACCAACGCGCTGGTAAGTGGAAGATAAAAAAAATTACTTCCAGCGGCGGTAACCAACGAGTGTTGCCGCCAACCAGTCGTTGGCATTTGACACATTTGACATTTGGTTGCAATAAAAAATCATTTCCTAAAACAAGAATTTCTGGGAATTCTAAAATTACAATGAACTTCATGGGGCCTGACTTATTGTATCTTCATTTTTGCCTCCTTTGTCAAGTATTCGCCTCAAGAAATTCAGAACTTATTCTGAAAATAAACCCCAACAAGAGTGTGGCCCGGTTATAATAGATAATGACTTTAAAATCTCTCCTCTAGAGGAGAATCAAAACAAAAGCATACAGCTTCATTGCTTTGTATTCAGGCCCTTAAAAACCTGAAAGAAGACTGTCTTCTTTTAAATTCCAACATATATAAATGGAATTCAGCAGGGTATCCCAGGGCCCCCTAAGCCTTCGGGCCCTTATGCTACGGCATTCCTTGCATGCCCATATTTACGCCACTGGTCGACGCCTGAAATATTTATTCGTTCTGTTTTCTCCCTTTCATTGTTGAGTAAGTATTATTTGGATATAAGTCTTCTGAGATTCAGGTGTAATAATAAAATTGGTAATCTTTCTTGTATTTGTGGATGACTCACCTTTGCTTCGTAAAAGCGAAACGCTATTAAACCTACAAACTACTTACAACTCTAGCCTACAAACTATATATTTGTGCGCACAAAAGTTCTTACCAAACATTTATTTCCACAACCGTGGGTCGTAGACATATATTTCCGCTTACAGAAATGTTTTAAATGTAAAGATTCATGTTTTCTTATTCTGAAATGTAAAAAAAATTAATTTTGCATGAAATAGGAAATCTTAACTTTTTATATATTCTTCCGGTCTGTAAACTTATATTTACGAAACCGTTACGGTCATTATAAAAAGTAAAACACAAGTTTGACTCACATTCGACAAAAATTGAACGAACAATTTAATTTCAAAATTTCAATGTTTGGCATCGTTTTCAAAAATGTTGATTTCTTTCCCTAAATGTCATTCAGTGATGTTCTTTTTTTTTTTTTTTTTTTTTTTTTTTTTTTTTTTTTCTTTTAGACTTACTAGTGTGTAATGTTCTGCAGAGTCTCACCCTTTTTGGTAGCATACACTAATACCCTTTTTGGTAGCATACACTAATACGTTGGGCTTTTCACCCAACATTATTAATCAAGCAGTTAAAAAATTCTCATCTCAACACACTAAAAGGCACACTCTTGTTTTAGGAGATTATAAAAATTCTGTGTCATTCCCTTCTTTCCATCAATTAGCTATAAAGTTGCACATATTTTGCAGAAATTTAACTTTCGGGTTGTTTATTCTCCCATCAATAAAATTCCGAGTTCCATACTTAAGGACCCCATTCCGGATATGAATTCCTGGGGGTATTTATAGGATTCCTTGCCAGTGTGGTTTAATTACATTGGCCAAACTAAGAGAGCCTTAAAATTTCGCGTCAAGGAACATGAGGCATATGTTAGAAAAAAGGAAACACAGAAGTCTTCTGTTGCGCAACATTGTTGGTCCGAAAATCACAGTTTCAATTTTTCTGCTGCCAAAATTATTCAAAAAACATCTTCCATTGGAGAACTGGATTTTCTAGAGGCATTTCACATTCATAAAAATCTTTCTGTTCTAGTTAACGATCCTAATTCCTATCCAAATTTGCCTTCGGCCTTTAAAGAAATTATGTTTTAGTTCTGGTTTCACCAACAGATGGCGCCACTTGCTTATTCTTGTCCAGGCTTTCTTATCTTATCTAATCATTTTTTCCTATCTTTTTAAAACCTGCGGTTTTGCAGCTGAGGATGGTGGTTCGGTAAAATCATCGAAACTAGTCCTGTGAAATTTTGTAAATATAACGCTGATTTTTGTTGTTTGTCTTCTGAATTAGCATACACTAAGTCAAGCCTCTAAATAGAATTAAGCGAGTTATTACTATGTCTAGTTAATCGAACAACACCGTAAGAAAAGTGCAGAAGACACTTTTAATAAGAACTCAAATAATTTTAACAGAAGGCACTCCTGGTGTTCACAAAATCAGCCAGCATTTATGGCGTAAACTCAAAAGAAAGGAATTCAAATTCAACTTAAATTTAAGTCTTAAGTTAGCTAACGGCTAAGCAGAAATACACTCCTGCTCACAAAATAAGCAATAAATAAACTATATATATATATATATATATAAATAAAAGAGCACGAATGTAAAAAGTGGAATTAAAACATACAATTTACATATGAGGAAGAGGTCGCATTGCCGAAGGCAAATAGGCAACCGAAAGTAGCGTAAAACGCAATACCGCAGTCACACCACAGAGCCTTGAAAAGGGGTATGCTCGAACTATGCATCAGTTCGCAAGCAGTGATTGTTCCGTGTAACCCGAGATAACCAAAGCAGAAAGCGTAAGCCAAAGACTCGAGTTGCACAATGAAATGAGTTGAAGGGCTGTCGGTATGTTGCAATCTGGTGCAAGACAGTTCGCTGTAGCGAGAGAGCTGAATGTGCATCGCAGTGTCATCAACAAGCTGTGGAATCGCTTTTCAAGGAATAAAAACATCTGTAGAAGACGTGGATTTGGACGTCCGAGGACTACCACAACGGCAGACGGTTGCTATATGCAAGACGCCATAGATCACTTATAACAGCACAGCTGGTGTTGCATCGCTTTGGTGCCGTAGGACCGCTCATCTCGTGCCGAACTGTATGCAGTCGACTGCATGAAGATGGACTGATTATTATTTGAAAATATTTCATGGTCAAAACTTTAAACTGAAAATATATTTTCCAATAGAAAAGGTGATTTCCATGCTTGTCTTCTTTCAATAATTTTATGTTCCACAAATTCATGCAGCCATAGTGAATATTGACCGGATAAAGAAAAATGATACTCTTAATGAAACAATAATCATAGTATCAAGTATTTTAATCATCTGCTCAATTTCATGAGAAATTTAAATTTAAATCATTTAAAACTTAAAATAGTGAAACATTTACTAAACACTGAGTGAAATGTATTTATTCATAAAAATGGCAAATAAGCTAATGTGACATTTTCGATATGTAGCTAGATTGCCAACTTAAGTTGGTAGGGCGATTTAGAATCCAAGTAGAAATCCACGATCGCACGTAAACGATTCTCTTAAGATGCGATCACCTCCATGTCAGAAACAATTCTTGAATCTTAGTGAGATGTTAATACGAGATAAAGTTTTCAGAAATGAACCCAGAACAAACGCTATTTGATGAAAGATAATCTTATTCAAATTGATAAGGCCTTTGCTTTGACTGTGCTCAAAATCTTATTCAAATTGATAAGGCCTTAATCAATCAAATCTATTTGTTCGTCGTTTCCTATTAATTAAAACTGCTTGAGCTAGTTATTTCATGTAGTTAAAAACCGTTTCATCCTTCCTTCTGAAAAACCGATTTATGTGAAACACAGCATCAAAAGCAATTACCTCCCACCATCGTAAGAAACTGGGAACGAAAACTTGCCTTTCAGACTATTTCTGGGAAAGCGCGTTTTTTGGAAAAACTGTGCTTCGTGCTCACAAGTATGATATGGGTTTCAGCTAAGTGCGGTAATATGCAGTGACGATGTAGCTGCTAATTCTGGATTAAATGCACAAAGCGAATTAAATATACAAGCTTTTCAGTAAAATCCACAGGATTATTGTCTCGTTTCCTGCAAATAAATGTATCTAAAATATCTTTTCACTTCATAAATTTGTATTTTTTCTCAAAGTTTAAAATGGAATCTTGAAATAAAACTTTATGAAGTAAAATATCTTTTCACTTCATAAATTTTTATTTTTTCTCAAAATTTGAAATGGAATCTTGGAGCATTTCCACCATCATAAGAAACTGGGGACTTTTTTGTAAACTCACTCTGTAGCAGATTGGGCAGCAACCACAGTAGTCCATATAATATCCACACCAGCAGTTATATATTGGTGGACACATGCGTCGGTCACACTGATTGCAATTGGGTACAGAATAACTTTCCACAGAAACTAAACTGCAAGAGAAAAAGAAACTTTGCTTTTTGTGTTTCTATAATATCATGAATGTAAACAGAACTATATTCATATATAAAATGACTATGAAGGAAAATTTGAAGTTAATTTTTATAGTTGCAAAATTAAGGAAACTAGATTTTGTTTTTGCTAAAGGTCTTTTGCAATATACGTTTTCTAACTTAAGAAAATAAGGTACGAGAAACGCTTCAGAATACTGGTGTTTTAGTAGTGAGAAAAACTACGAAATTATCGAAAACTTATATGTCAAATTTCTAATAAATAATGCTTTATAAACGAAATAACGCGAAACTATCTAAATTATAAACTAAACTCAGTGGCGTAACAGCCCTAATAGGCCAAGGCCAGCAGTGCCCGAAATCTGCTTTCTTGACCATGGGTCCCGGGATGCGTAAGCAAATGCGCAAGACAGAATGACAGAATTGCGTAAGCAAGGGGTCAGCTTGTCGCAGGGCCCCCAGTGTTTAGTCCCCAAACAAACTTGGTACTCATTTTATCGACCCAAATGAGGGAAATCAAGGGATGAAAGGCTGAGTCGACCTTGCCCAGCCCGGGAATCGAACCCTGGACCTGTGGTGCTGCTGCGCGATGCGCTAGCCACTGCGCCACCGGGCCTCATCTTTCGAATTTTTCATAAAATATATGCAAAAGAAATTTAACTGAAAAAAGGTTAACTACCAGTTCAAACAGCATACGAAGCTTGCATCTAAATTTGCTCTATATTAAATTAAAATCGAAAATTTTTAATTTTTCACAGACATAGAAATGTATAAATACTTAAAATCTCTAAATTAGTAAATTTCTTCTACATTTTCTGGTACGTATTTCTTTGAATTGTAGAAACATTAGGTTATTTTGAAGCAAGAGAGATGAAAAATGAGCAATGCTCTCGGCGGGACCCGAACCTCGGACCTCTCGAATTCACGTCGAGCGTGCTGACCACTACACTACGAAAGCATGCTAAGACGACAGGAGAAATATTTTATATACTCCCCTTTTAAAGGGCGATTGGGCTTTTAGGGGACTTAATCGTCAAATCTTGGTGGTGAAGAAACATCATTCATCCCCTTTTTAGTTCGGGCGCCACTGTAGAAACATTAGGTTATTTCGAAGCAAGAGAGATGAAAAATGAGCAATGCTAAGAAGGCGGGAGAAATACCTTATAGAATAAGAGAAACAAGCCATAAGTAATGTATCAGTGGTATCAAAATATCCTCAGTTCATTTTAAGAATTTATAATTTTTAAATTAGAAATCATAATTTAATGAGTTATTCATATACATGTATATAGTAGCTTCTAGAATAAGTTACCTAATTCCTTTTAAAAGAGTAATATTTTCAAAAAGTAAATAACATGTTACTTGGTCATAATATCGATAGCATGGATTTTAAAAAAATTATTTCAATTAGTGAAACATAATTTTTTAACACTTAAAAACGGAAACGAAAACTTACAATAAAGCCAGGGTAGCTGCCAAAATGGAGATATAAACGAAAGTTTTCATCCTTTCAGTTTCTATAACAGAGAGGGAAGAAAAGACAGTAGATTTTCTGTAACTATAAACAATCATTGCAAATTTTCTAGACCTTAATAAAATACATATTCTGTATATGTATTTAATCTTTAATAAAATATCCAAAATCCTGTAATCTTTAATAATGTACATACATTTTCTTAAAATGCATAAAAGTTCTTTAGGTTTTAATAATAGACTTTGTTACTTCCTTAATAATGTAAACGAACATTTTAGGCTTTAATAATGCATTTAATCCTCACTTTTATCTATTAACTAAGTGTTGAAGAACTTAGCTAAGCGAATAATCGCTTAAGTTCAGGAATAGAAACATAAACTCTAGAATGCTTTTATTGCTTAAAATAAAGATTAACAGATGGCGCCTTTCTCAGGAAGTACAACAAAGCTTCCACTTGGGCTTAAACTCAAAAATGTAAGAAATAAAGAACTTAACTAATGACTAACTAAAAAGATTTAGCCGAAGCTAACACAATTTCTAAACTAGTTGGCCCGCAATATGAAATTAGCTAGCGAAGCTATCAAAGGCATGTTATACAGCTGAGTGTTACTCTATGATTATCCACAATAAGGATAATTAGAAAAAATGAAGACTGTATTAGAAAAAGTGTAGCAACTGGAACTTGTAGCAGTAAGAGCACAATTTCAAATGTAACAGATGATACAATGGAAAATATGGAAAAGGCACTTGTGATATGGATAGAAGAACAAAATCAGAAACGGGTTCCAATTTATACTAATGCTATTGCAAAAAAGTCTTTAAAGATTTATAAAGTACTTAAGAATCAGTCACCGACGACTTCGTCAGATGAAAAAAAGGTATCTTTTTTCAAAAACCACGGTTGGTTTGAGAGATTTAAACAAAGACATTCTTTACATAATGTAAGATTGAAAGGAGAAAGTGCATCTGCTGATTCGGATGCAGCACAACAATATCCAGCAAACTTTGCTGAAATGATTGTCGCCAACTCCTACACTTCTGATCAACTCTTCAATGCTGACGAGTCCGGGTGGTTCTGGAAAAAAAAGTCTGAAAGATCCTATTTAGCTAGAGCTTGCTAATCAGTTAGTAATCATAACGTAGAGAAAAGTAGTATAACAATTCTTTTCTGTTGCAAAGTTTTAGACGATTATACGAATATAATGAAACCATTGGTTATTAAAAGTCAAAAACAACCCGCTCATTTAAAGGAAGAAACATAAATAACCTTCCCGTTTATTGGATGGCTAAATAAGAAAGCATGGGTCACTGCCATAGCTTTCAATGAATGGTTTCATAAGATGTTTGTACCAGATGTCAAAAATTATTTTAAGTAAAAAGGGATTAGCTTTTAAGGGCTCTTCTATTAACTGATAATGCACCTGGTCATCCTCAAGATTTACAACACGAAAATGTAGAAGTCTTTTTACCAAAGAGTACAACTTCCTTATTACAGCCGTTAGATTAAGGAATAATTTCGACTTTTAAGGCACTGTATATCAAACAAACCTTCAGGTATATTTTAGAACAAATGGAGAATGATGAATCTCTTACTCTTATAGATGCTTGAAAGACATTTGCAATCTTATATTGTGTTAAGCATGTTGGAATGTCATATACTCAGACTAAACAATTAACGCATGCTGGAAAGCAATAAGGCCGGATGCTGCTAAAGATGAGAATGATAGATTACCATTAAAGCATGAATATTCTCAGATCAATAAATTGGCCCAAACTATATGAGGAAAAGGTTTTGACGATTTAGCTCAGGGAGATATTGAAGAAATAATTGCTGACGAAGAACTAGATGAGGATGCGTTAGTTAACATGATTCATGAAACAAATAAATATGTTGAAGACAATCATTCTGAAGAAGAGCAATCCGAACCAGTTGCATTCACAGCAAGAGTCATCAGCGTAGGACATGAATTGGAAAGAAAATTAGGAAATCATTTTTTACAATATGACACGAATGTTGAACGAGCTCTCCGATTTCAACCGGAGCTTAGTAAGCTTAAATCAGTATTGAGGAGGTTTACAAAGATTTAAGAAAAAAAAAAAAAAGCTAGACACTTGTTAATTACGGATTTCACTGTACAAAGTCTTCTCGATCTGAAATATTCCTTAATTCGTCAACCATTGAAGCGGAATCTTATCAAGATCGCTCAAGTGATGAAAATGACATCATACCAATCAAGAAGAAAAGACTAACAGTTCATGAAAAAGATGACAATGATTAAACTTACGATAATTTTTTAAATGATCTTATATTTTCCTATAAAATAAATTAAATATCTATCTTTATTACCTGCATATATTTGCTATTTTATGAACGAAGAATAACTTTATTTATTTTAAGATGTCTTACTTTTGATTTATGTAAATAAATGACAAAATTATGCACATTTAGTGTGTTTTTCGTTTTACACGGTTTTACATAGCAAAATTCAAGATTCCATTTACACGGGTTTGTGCGGAAATCTTCCGTTAAGTAGAAGGATAGAGCTGTAGTTGTAATCTAAATTTGATAAAGAAAAAAAAGTAATTTATTTGAGTTCCGAGTTTGCTTCAAACATTAGACTGATCAAAAACACATTGGCCATACTTAATGACTTAATTAAATTTATCATACCCAGTATTTATCAAAAATGTTAGTGTTGTATGCGGAAAATGTACATTTCTAGAAAACTTTTAATCTGTTTACTTTTCTTTCGTTGACTTCATTTTATATATAAAATCTGCATCATTTTGCTGAAGGTATAAACATTTGAATTTAATATGATTATTAAAACAAAGTAAAAAACAAATCTAAAAATAATTGTACTGATGCCTCATTGATTGATGATTAAACATCTCTCATCATGCATTTACTCACTTCTCTAACCAAGAAATATATCATAATTCTTACAGCTTCATGGGGCAGCTTGAAAACTGCGTTATAAAAAACATGTAGAAACTCTATTTATATGTGGCATGGAAAAAAGTATACGAACGCCACTGTACTGAATAAAAAGAAATGTACAAATTGAGTTTTAATTTATAGTTCATAGCGTCTTCATTTCTCTGCGAGTGCTGTGAAGAGAAGTCTAAAATATTGTAATTTCCTGAAAATCAGGTTATGTCACGTCAGGAGTTTTACATTAGATATAGATTCGGACTAATTCTTTAACATAACGTCATCAAACATTTTACTCTTCAACTTTCCGTATTTCAGCCTTATGCATGAGTAAACTCTTCATGTAGCATTTAGATCTGTCATTATCTTGTGAATCATATTTTGGAACTGTTGAATCTTTTGAGAGCGGAGCGGACAGCATGCATACCAGAGCGACGTACAGTAGTACGTATTACGTATATCAGTGACATGCCCGGCGTTCATTTCCAATTTACACCTACGACTGACACTTCTACACTGAATCTTACACTGAATATTGTATATTCACTCTCATACTAGATAGCCTCTCGTAATTAATTTACATTTATTAACTGCTGTGCATTGGTAATACGATTGAAAGTTGTTGCCATGAAAACGGCAACTAGAACATAGCTGAGCTACAAATGTTTTAATATGCACTTTTAAATGAACTATGTTTACTAGATTATATCATTAGATGCTTTTTATATGGATACCTTAAATATTGTTTGTTTAAAGTTTGTTATGTATGAAGTAGAAATAGTTTGAATCCGTTAAAGTTACAACAAAAGGAATTTCGCAGTTCCTTTTTTTCGACGCTAATTTTGTTAACGGCCAGTAAACTGGTAGTTTAATCCTACATCAAAACGTTGCAAACGGACTAGCGGCATGCGCGTTTACGTATTTTTTCCATTTCTGAGGTAATTTTCTTCTAGTGTCGTCCCTTTCTTAGACATCTCTCCCTTAGATAGCTGTAGTTTTACCTAATCCAATCCAGTCGCTTGATCGCTGCATCAAGCGACCAACTCTGCCGCAGTAGATGAAATCGTAAATAAATTCTATGTCTGCTTTCCTTAGGGTTGCCTTACCTTAAATTTAGGGTCGAAAGTGACGTAACACTAAACTAACAAAGTTAATTACAATTTATAAATTCTTATATGACTTCTGAAAATTCTATTTATAAAGAATTTCAGTGTTTCGCGAACTTTAATAAATTTATTTCAATTAAACTAATGATTGGCGACTATCGATTCCATGGCCAGATGGATAATTCATCCTTTAGCTGAAAAAGAGACTTGCGTCAAAGCAGGCACTCCAATCCTAATCCGCCACACAGATAAAACAGCGGGAACAGATAGAGTGAAGGTGATAACACACATGAGGCGCGAATGCAACGTCCCTGTCCATGACGTGTAATTGTCCTTTTTCTAATCGTTGATTTTTACTCAAGAATTAAAAAAAGGTTAGGTTACTTAGAGTGAAGTTTTTGTGTCATAGAAATACTGCTGTTGTAGCTAGAGGGCGCCTAAAAGCAGGACTGAGGCAAAACCTTCTTAAACAGAAGCCCAACTACGAGCATGGACCTTATAAGAAATAGACTAACCCAGTGGGCGGGGCGCGCGTCACCGACATGTCCGCATGAAAGAGTAGGGACGATCTGGTTTACTTTACGCGTAATTCTTGTACAAACATCTTTACTTTGGTAAAACGGTAAAAACTCTAAGGACAAAATTTATGGACTTAATTTTGCGTACAAATAACATAAAATTAAATAAGATTGATAGTACTTGATGCTTTGAAATAAATAAGGTAAAATTAAACAAGATATGATAACTTGTTTTTAAAAAATTAATGACCATTTTCAGGCAGTGATTTTCAAAACTATAATAACATTACAGAACAATCGTTTATTTGATTATCTCATCATTAACTCATTAAAGTGGAATATTTATTTTAGCAATTTAAAAAATTCGGAGCAAAAAATTTTCTGAGTGTAATGAAGGAAAAAAAGATAAAATAAAATCTAGACGCACTGAGATTTTATATTACGCCCAAAAGGAACCTTTTTTTAACGTTTTGTGTGGTACCTATATTTATTGAATATCATGTTCTTCGCCCGTAAACCACATATATTTGAAAACAGCATACCTTTAGAAATTTCCGCACTGGAGATAACAACGTTATTTTCCGTACAGTGTTACGATTACTCGCTTTGAACTCGTTGAGTTTATTAATCAAAAATTCGTTAAAGTTTTACAAAATATGAAATAGATTAAAAGAAATTCGAAATTCGACCATCCAGACGCCCATGTTCGGGTGGAGGATTGTATTATTCAAAATTTTATGACTATTTATTAAAACCATAAGCATAAATTATATAGATTCCGTCGTTTTGTAACAGGGCGAGAAACTGTGACAATATTGTATGCATGAATACATGTATTCATGCAGATTCTTCATTATTTAATTTCTTTAAATATAATACAGGGCGATAATATTTAATAACAACAATTTGCAAGGAGACACGAACATTTATAGTGAAACAGTGCCAAATGCCGCTTCGAGCTAATAAAGTAAACAGTAAATAAAAAAATCTTATGCAGAAAAAAATAAATTTAAAAAATAATCACTATAAAATACAAGCAAAATTAATTATTACTGTTAAATACAATTTTAATATTAAGTGTATAAAAATTAAGGAGTCAAAAGTGTTTATCACTATGATGTATTATGAAATATGATTGAAATAAAATTCCTTTATAGAAATTGTACTATAATACTCATCTATAATTTAAAAAAGCAGCACAATTTAGAATTTTAAGGAAAACTTTACAAAATTCGTTTTTAAATATTTTAGTATTTTTTACTTATTTACACCAATAAAAAGCATAAAAATTGCCAGAGAAAATTGCTTGTTTGAAATTTTATTTTAGTTCAGATTTAAAATATTATTTTCTAAAGAAGTAGTTACAAATTTCCTTACAGCATAGGAAAAGCTAAAAAAATATGCAGCCCTGAAAGCATGCAATAGCTTTATAATTATCTGGAAAGCTAATTATGCTCAATAAATATGCTAAATTTTTAAAAATCAATCTGAGTTTCAAAAATAAAAATATGGAGAAATTCTCATTTGTGAAATGAGGCGCTACAACCAGCTTTTTCTTGACAATTCGGTTATTGCACTGAAATGCTTATAAAGCGCCTGCGAACAATTTTACTTCTTTCCCTGTATTTCTTATATATCACTCTCTTACACTTTCGTCATTGTGACGTACCATCGGTGTCACAATGACGAAAGCATATTTATATAGATTCCGTCGGTTACTTCCTGAAATTTGCATATGATTCTTGAAGATGCGTGTAGTGATTTTAGAGGTCATATATTTATTTTAGAGTTCGATTTCCGCGTAACTCCGAATTATCCTTAATTTATGAACATGAGTGTATTTGAATTTTCATGCATTAGGAATTTAAATTATTTCTTGTTTGTCGCAAAACTGTGCACTTTATATTACAATTTAAAAAACCATAAGCATATTTATTGCCTTCACAGTTTCTTTAGAAAAAACTTTTAGTACTAGTTTAGTTTTAGTAAATATATTAAATATTAAGCTAAATAATTTCATTTGCTGCCATATACGTATGAAGTTAAAAGTTCCAAGTTATAAAATTAATCAAAAAGTAAAAAATTGGACATTTTAATCAGTCAGTCAATATTTAGCATACAATTCGATACATAATAATTAACCATACAATTCGATACATAATTATACTAATCGATACGTAATTACACAATATTATACACAATGTATTCTATAAAAATGAAATTCCTTAATATTAACGTATCCATTTTTTTTTAAAGCAGAAGCAAATACCTTAATAAATTTAAATTTCAAGTTAGGCTTAACTTACCCGAGAATACTTCGAAATGGTAAAATTTTCTCGCGGTATCGATTTTAACCATCTATGTAATACATCTTGTTGCTTAGGAAATCTATATACTGATACTGAACCGTCACAATAATTTTTTCGGCATAACGGCACACAGTACTTTAAAAAAAATCAATATCAAATTAAGGAGACTTGGTTCACGCGTCTTCTCACGACCAAGGACGAAATTCCCCTAACTTGCTAATGCCATCTAGATGGCCTTGGTTTAAGGGCGATTTTTCGCACCCCATCGAGAAGGCCAACGGTTTGTGACGTCACTAAACTACGATCCTTCAGTAGGGAGGCTTGTGTTTAAGAAGGTGTTGACTGAGGGCTGCTAGACGTCCGCAAGCTACCGGTTGGAAACCACTGGCATGGACTCTTACTTCCAAGAATTAGATGGGTAGTTACGTAAACAAAATGAATTGTAATTATAGGTATGATATAAACAACAAATGAAAAGTAAAATAATATCTTATAAATATATATATATGTATAGGAGGGAAAAGCATACTGATAAAACGAAAATAAAGAACGATGCAACAGTAATGATACAGCAATGAAGATAGTGATACACGGTCTTAACAAAATGAGAAGATACCGAGCTGATGTTTTTTTATTTAGTTTTTAGTATTTTTAATACGATTTTATTTCATGATTTGTTTTTAAAATTAGCAAAGGAAAATTTCTTCTGAGAATTATCAAGAAATAATTCGAAACAAAATTTTCAGATTCTGGAAGTTTTATCTTACTGTTATATTAAACATTATACACTGATAGCCTTGACTTCTTTATACGTTATGCATATATGAAAAAGAAAAGTTCTATTTTCATAGAAAATTTTCCAAACAATAAATCTGCTAATTATCTGTTAACAGTACAGTCTAATGATGTCGAATATTTTAAGTTATATGCACTCATTTTCATAAATTCATATATTCTCTCAAGGATAGCAAATTCTACTTACCTTAAATTTACAATTAAAAATTAACAATGCTTTGGAGATTGATAAACGTAAAGCGCTATGTTTCAAATATCACTGTTTGGAAGGAAATGCCATGTATTTGAATATAGATCACACTTCCCAAGGTCACTGATATGTTAACAATGGAAACTAGTATCGAAAGTATTGCAGGAAAGTCAATGAGTTCCTGGTTATTGTGCATGTATGCATACGCTGGAAAGAAAAGAATAAAGAATTACAATGGCTGTTTTAAAAAAAGAGTCAATTGTTTTTCTACTTCATAACTGTTAGCAGAGAAAGGTCACTAATCCGTTATTGATTGAATTTTGTTACAAATTTCTATTCTTTACATGTGACGCATCAACTTCTTTTATACGGTTATTTTATAAACCTCTTTTCAATTCCAAATTTTATTTCACTTTAGATTATTTCATTTCATACAATGATGTGCAAAAATTAAAGACTAGATAGATTTTCAGATATAATGTCTTGCAGCTATGCTTCCAGTCGGTACAAATCATGCTATAACATCGTTGAAACGTAAGACTATTCTAAAGTAAATTACGAGTAAAACAAGACAGGAAATCGAAACATCCATGTAACAAGCGGCAGGCAAGAAATGTGTTATCCTCAATAGGGAGTATGATCACTCTGAACTACGAACTATGTAAGTGCAGCCTCTGTCCATGTTCAGTACAGGACTGCCAACAAGCTCTTGCATACAAGCTTTTCTCATCATGCTTTACAAACAAGCACCCCAGAGACCATCCTCATTCGACAGTATTTTTAGAGGCAGTCTTATGTCAGTTATTTTCTCCATATGGTTAGACCAGTGGTACTCAACCTTTTGCAGCCTTTAATGAACCTAACAATTTATTCTAGTCATTTGTCAAGAAGCTTAAAAATAAACATACTACACCTAGGCCTAAAGACAAATAATAAATGTGCCTATACTAATAAGGAAAAGGTCTCTATGGCATGCCGAACACTTTGTAGAACAATTTAAACCCAATGACAATCCCAGCGATGGAAATGTGAGGTATTACGTTAAAGACTGGCTTGCTGCACATTCTAAGTAGAAAGATTTACAGCTCACTAATCCTAAAGAAATTCAAGATGTCATTAACATACACTGGTATCCTGAACGCTTGCCTCACAAATGCTTATTTCCCCATGTCTTGGAAGAGCGCTAAAATGATAGTACTACCAAAGCCAGGCAAGGACACGACCAAGCCAGAGGGCTTCCGCCCTATTAGCCTTCTCCTGGGTTTTGGGAAAATACTTGAGCGGATTATTCTGAAACGCATGGAGCCTTATCTGAAGAAGCTTCCTATTGAGCAATTTGGCTTCCGTCGCTCGCTATCCGCTACCAAGTAGCTTGTTAGGCTCGCTGAATACATTGGTAGCTCTCTACATAATCATCAGACTGTCATCTTACTCATGTTGGACGTGGCGAAAACCTTCGACCGCGTCTGGCATGAGGGGCTTATTTTCAAGCTTATTAACCACGACTTTTCGCCTGCTCTTATCAGGATTATTCACTCCTTTTTGTACGGGCGTAAATTTCACGTTTCTATAGGAAAGGACTACCAGTGGTTAAGAGAATCAGGGCCGGCGTCCCACAAGGGAGTATTTTAGGTTCTGTCTTGTACTTATTTTATGTTGCAGATCTACCAAGGGCCAACCTGGATTACAATTATTTTCTTGGATGCTACGCTGACGACACTGTCGGCAATCCCCAACTTTGTGATCCGCAAGCTGCAGAGCATTATACCGCAAATTGAGCACTGGTGTCGCAAATGGCGGATATGTATCAATGCAGATAAGTCCCAACTACTGATTATAAGGGGGAAGCACTCACGGACTAATATCACTGAAAAACTTACGCTCTTCAACACTGAGGTACCCCGTGTTAACAAGGCAAAGTATTTAAGTATTGTACTCAACACCAAGTTCAACTGGAAGGACCACATTATGCACGTTCAGGGGAAAACTATCGGCGTGATTCAAAGTCTCATCCCTCTACTCAGTTACGATTCAAAATTAGACTTACGAAGAAAGAGGCATCTGTACATTTCAATCATCAGACCTATTTTCTCATACGCCTCGCCTGCATGGGTAACTATGAGGACCAGGGATTTGGATAAACTGCAAATTATGCAGAACAAGCTGCTGCGTACTATGACTCATGCACATTACTACGTCTCAAACAAAACTCTACACACGGATCTTAAAATCGAGTCTGTTCTAAATTTTCTGCACCAGATGAACGATAATTTCTTTAAGAAAGCAATAAATTGCCCACACCTCAAGAATCTTAAAGTTCTTGATTATATCGTCTTAGAAGAGGACCGTGAATTCAGACCACTAGCCGCCCACCTGTCCCGAGACGCTAACTTTCCGACGTAGCATGCTTTCCGTCTATACATATGTATATAGCACACCCTTTTAATTTAAATTTGCATTGTATCCTTATGTATGTAATGTTAAAAGTAGTACTGCATTTTCTTATTTAATCCCTTTGTACTTTATTTGTAACTCATTGTATCCATGTTTTGTAGCTTAACATATTTTATCTCAGCTGTGAGCCGGCAACATCGCGCTTTGCGCGATAATTCGGCTATAAATGTTCGGTTCGGTTCGGTACTCAACCTTTTTTGGTGGTCGGGTACAGAAGGCAAAGTTTCAAAAAGCGAAGCGGGCACCACATAACATTTCCGTCTCGGGTGATATTCAGGCCATCCCTTGGCGATATTATCACGTTACTAGTTAACGCCAGCTCGTAAGAAAAAAAAAAAAAAAAAAAAAAAAAAAAAAAAAAAAAAATGCGCCCTCATAAAGAAGATAGATAAAACGGATTGAGATAGAAACAAAATATACATTTCAAGCACATAGGTTTTAGTGCGAAACATTGAGACACTAAACGTATTGTACAAATTACAGTCTGTTCATGAAGTTTAAAATACAAAATTCCACCAAAAGCACTAAAATTGATGTAGATAACCGAAAAAGGTATAAAGTTCACTTTTTAAGATCCTGTGAAAGTTCTGAGAGTGAAGTTCTTGGTAGTGTTGCCTTACTCCAATTGAATAAAGACGTAGTGGTACGTGTGGGAGAAGTACGTAACGTAGGGGTAGAATTTTTTTGGTTGGGTCCCGGGGGGGGGAATGGGGACCGTTGTAGATTTCTTCTCTTGTGAGGATTGCTGCCGTGGAATTTCCTCCAGGGTAGAAAGAAGAAAATATGCTAAATTTATATTTTCTGATTTATTTGTCTGATAATTTTTAATTTAGAATTCCTTAATCGTCATTTCCCGCTGATTAATGTTTTTTTTTTTTTTTCTTTTTTTTTTTTTTCCCCACGTAAATTGGGCTGTCATTACTGCAGAAATTGCCTGATGGAAAAAGTCGCTTGTTACCAGCTTTTGTTATGGTTTAGGAGCTTTTTATCGTAGTGACAATATGATCCCATTACTGGTAGCAATGACGGACTTATAAATCATGTTGTTCCTGCCTTTCATCTACAACGGCGAACACAGTGGGATTGCACAAGTAAACTATAAATTAATTAATAACTGTTTACGTAAGAGGAATACAGACTTAATCCATATATCAAAACGTTCGTCTTGGTTTCCTCAATAGGATGATATGCCCAATCAAACAGTCGTTGCTCCAGATCTCATGGAATAAGGTAAGGGTCCCCAACCTTTTTATCCCTAAGAGTACAATCTACAATATCTATTGGACGGCGGGCACCATTTACTTTATCAAGGTGAATTTATAATTGGATAGATTTAATAATACATGCACATAATTTACAAAAAAATATTTAACTCAAAAAATAAAATTTAACATATAAAAATTATTGTTTTTATTCTTGTGCAAAATAATTATTAAGTAATGCATACAAAATCTACAAAGTAAAAAAATCTCTTATAAAAAGTACAAGTCAGTGAGATTTTTTGCACTGCATTTCATGGGCTAATGCTTCGTTAGTTAGGCGAATATGACGATATTCCTAATCTTAAGTAGTCTTTAAGGAGTTCATCTGTAAGTTGAGATCTGTACTTTGATTTTATGATAGTCGTTGTCGAAAACAATGAATGAAAAAAGTACGTGGAACTGAGAAACGATTTTAATAATACATACACATAATTTACAAAAAAATATTTAACTTAAAGAATAAAACTCAACATATAAAAATTGTTTTTATCCTTGTGGAAAATAATTATTAAGTGCTAATGCTTCGTAGTTAGGCGAATATGAGAATATTTCTAATCTTAAGCAGTATTCAAGGAGTTCATCTGTAAGTCGAGATCTGTACTTTGATTTTATGATAGTCATTGTCGGAAACAATGAATGACAAAAGCACGTGGAACCGAAAAACGATTTTAATTTCTATGCTGCTTTTTTCAAGAATGAAAATTTATTTCTGTTAACTATATTATATTCCAGAAGTTCTCATCTCATACAATGGATTTTAGGACAATGTCGTTCTGGATCTAAAATATCTATGTCCAGCTCTTCTGTCGTTGCATGAAGAAACTCTGAAATGTACGTAGCTAGTTCGATTACATTTACTTGGTAAATAAGAGGATTAATAAAAAAATTGACCATTGGCTCGAAGATATTAAACTGTTGAAAGCGCTTTTCAGACTGCTTATGAAGTAATTGAAGGTTGATAGCGAATGTTGATAAGTTAATTTCAACGTCGTCTATCTTTTTTTTTTTTTTTTTTTTTTTTTTTTTTCATATTTGGAAACTACACAAGGGACTTCATCTTCAGATATCGTATCCCCAAAAACCAATTTAGCTTTAAACGAGTTTATAGACCCCATCATTTTTATAGTTTGTTTGCTATAGGTTTGTCCTTTCCATGCAGCTTTAGGTTTAAACAATTAAGTTTTTCCCAATATAAACCTGTGAAAAAAGCCAAATCCGCTAGTCAACAATGGTTTGTTAGTTCAACGAAATTCTGAGTTTGGGCACTGAGATAATTTTTATTTCATCAATTAAATTTACAAATCTAATAAGAGCATTCATTGCCTTTACTGAGGCACCGTACTCCGGTATGCGGAATGAGATCAGGATACTCAGGATTTTCTAATAGGGTCTTGAAAAGGCGACGTTGCAAAGAAACTGTGCGAATTAAGTTGACTATTTTTGTAACTATTTTCATGATGTAGCTAACAGTGCTGGTGTGTCTGATA